CTTCCTAAGGCCCATTTGACTTCACATTCCAGGGTGTCTGGCTCGAGGTGAGTGATCACACCATCGTGATTATCTAGGTCATGAAGATCTTTTTTGTATAGTTCTTCTGTGTATTCTTGCCACCTCTTCTTAATATCTTCTGCTTCTGTTAGGTTCATGCCATTTCTGTCCTTTATTGAGTCCATCTTTGCATGAAATGTTCAAGGTCAGTTAAATTTACAAGGTCAGGTAAGGAGTTTGAATTTTATTCTCAAATATAATTAGGTATTAAGAATGATGTGACATGATTTGTATCTGAAAAAGACCACTCTGATGGCTGAGGAGGTTGAAAAAGAGCAGAAGCGGAGAGACCAGTTTGGAGGCAGGTGAAAGATGTTGAAAAGATCCTGATGCTGGGAAAGACTGAGAGCAGGAGGAGAAGAGGATGACAGAGGATGAGACGGTTGGGGGGCATGAGTCTGAGCAAGCTCCAGGAGTTGGTGATGGACAGGGAAGCCCGGCATGCTGCAGTCCATGGGATCACAAAAAGTAGGACAGGATTCTTTGAAAGATGAACTGAAATGAAAGATGTTGATGGACTAGCCTAGGGTTTTAGAAGCCGAAATGGTGAGAAACAGCTGATTTGGGGATATAACTTGGAGAATAAAGCTGATAGGACTTGATAATGGATTAGATGTGGTGGCTGGTGCAGGGAAGAGGAGAGGGAAGAACTTATCAGGCGTGATGACTAGATTTTTGGTCTGAGCATGTGGGTTGATGGCGGTGCCATGAACTAAGATGGGGGGAAACTGGGAGAACAGGTTTCAGGGGGGAGGGAGGCCCAGAGGGGGTCAATGGTTCTGTTTGGCCATGTTAAGTCTCAGACGCTTATTTCAAGTCAAGATATTGTGTTGGGACTTCCCTGGTGGTCTAGTGGTTAAGAATCTGCCTTCCAAATGAGAGGGTGTGAATTCAATCTCTGATCTGGGAAACTTAGATCCCACATGCTGCAGGGTAACTAAGCCTGTGCACTGCAACGAAAGACCCCATGTGCCACAGCAAAGACCCAGCACAGCTAAATACATATTTTTTAAAAAGATACTGTGCAGGCAATCAGCTAACGATAACTAAGGGTAAAAGTCCAGGCGAGAGGTATTTCAAAACAAGAGATAAGATGAGATCACCTGGTGACTAACAATAGATATAGGGGAAAACAGAGGGTGGAGGGTTAGATGCTAAATTACAATACAGGGAGACATGTGCTCTGAATAGGGCAACACCAGGTTAGCCGAGAGGGAGGCTGGTCAGGCAAGGTTCCATGGAAGAATTAAGATCTGGGCTCCCGGAAACCAAGCAGTGACATTATTTCAGTGAGGATGCTGGTACAGTGGGGGTAATTTGCAATTAGTCATACAGCTAGTGACCTAACTGTAACTTTGCATTTGAATTACTTTAAGTTAAATGTGCAGCTGAACCCAGGTCTCCAGCATTGCAGGCAGAATCTTTACCAGCTAAGCCATAAAGGGAAGCCCAAGAATACTGGAGTGGGTAGCCTATCACTTCTCCAGGGGATCGTCCCGACCCAGGAATTGAACCCTGGTCTCCCGCATTGCAGGCGGATTCTTTACCGCCTGAGCTATCAGGGAAGCCCCTAAATGTGCAGCAGAGTACCTAATTAAGAGAGAGGAATGCCAGGCACCTAGGAGCATAGACTTTGGGATCATTCTGCTTGGATTCAGATTCTGGACCTGCCACTTAGCAGGTGGGTGACTCCAGGTATGTTACTCATCATCTCTATACTTCAGTTTTCTTAGTTGAAATGGGCATACTACAAACAGCTATCTACTTATGGGCTACTAACTCTGTGCGTCCCTGGTACAAAGATTTTACATACACTATTCAACACCCCCCTCCAATAATCAATGAAGTTGAGTGCTATTATTATCCCCATTTTACTGATGAGAAACCGAGAGCACATTCATGGATTCCAAAAATATTTACTGTGCCTGCATTACACTCCAGGCATGTTTCTTCGTGCTAGGGGTGCATCACGCAACACAACAAAATCTTTGCCTTTGTGCAGCTTGCCTGTGATTTGCTGAAGGGAGAAAGATGATAAACCCAATAAATATGTATTAATATAAAGGGACGACAAAGGATGAGATGGTTGGATGGCATCACCGACCCGACAGACCTGATGAGTAAGCTCCGGGAGTTGGTGATGGACAGGGAAGCCTGGCGTGCTGCAGTTATGGGGTCGCAGAGAGTCGGACACGACTGAGCGTCTAAATTGAACTGAACTGAAGTGCTATAGAAAACACAGCAGGGTAACGAAACTAGGGAAGTTGCTGTTGGGTATCCAGAGTCGATCTCCCTGAGAAGGCGACATCTGAGCAAGGATTTGAAGGAAGTGAGATGGCCAGCCACCCAGGTATCAGGAACAGAGGACTCGGAGCATCCAGGCATGTTTCTTCGTGCTAGGGGTGCATCACGCAACACAACAAAATCTTTGCCTTTGTGCAGCTTGCCTGTGATTTGCTGAAGGGAGAAAGATGATAAACCCAATAAATATGTATTAATATAAGGGGACGACAAAGGATGAGATGGTTGGATGGCATCACCGACCCGACAGACCTGATGAGTAAGCTCCGGGAGTTGGTGATGGACAGGGAAGCCTGGCGTGCTGCAGTTATGGGGTCGCAGAGAGTCGGACACGACTGAGCGTCTAAATTGAACTGAACTGAAGTGCTATAGAAAACACAGCAGGGTAACGAAACTAGGGAAGTTGCTGTTGGGTATCCAGAGTCGATCTCCCTGAGAAGGCGACATCTGAGCAAGGATTTGAAGGAAGTGAGATGGCCAGCCACCCAGGTATCAGGAACAGAGGACTCGGAGCGGAAACGGCAAGGGTGAAGGTAGACTCTCAGGTGAGAGCATTTGCTGAACATCCACCAACAACGTCGAGTGCAAGCCGAGAGGATGTGAGAGGTAGGGGCTGTGTATCCAGCTCTAGGAACTTTCACTTTTACTCATGAGATGAGGTGCCATTGGACAGATCTGCCTGGGGAAGTGATATAACTTGATCTTATATTTAGGCGCAAGGTCCATTAACTTGGTCTGGCGCTGAAGTCAGTGTTCTCAGGGTAAATGAATCCCAGCACAAGGGTTCAGCCTCACAGCAAGCGCCCAGCAAGCGCCGGCCCACTATTCTGGTTGCCCACGACCCTTTCACTTAAACCTCGCCCCGACCTACCGCCCTCTAGCTCCCCAGTTCCAGGGATCGCCATCCACTCTGTTCTGTCTCCACGTAGCGCTTCCCCGGCTACGGATTGCGCAACTCATGCAACCGGACTCTGCACGTAGGCGGAGCGACAGCGGGCGGGAGAAGGCCCCAGAAACAGACGCGACGAGGAAGCCCTGAGCTCCACCCCCCGGGACGCCCACTGACTGCGCCTGCGCACGCGCCTTCCAGACGGCCGACATTCCAGAGCGGCAATCCGCCCCGCCCCAATTCCGGGGCGGAGTTCTTAGCTGCGCCTGCGCACAGCCTCGCCGCACCCTACGCCTGCGCGCTCTGCCAGCCCGGTCCCATCCCCCCCCAGGTTTTTAGGTTGGTGGGGGGAGGGCGCGTCTCGGCGAGTCACGATGATGGCGGCCACCAGCCTGTGGTGAGCTAGCGGATTCTCAGCTCCTCTCGCAGAGCCCCTCGCACTTCCTGCAGACCCAGTGGCTGGTAACCGGGCGCGTGAGGAAGCACGGTGGCCCGAGCTCGCGAGGAAGGCCGCAGTCGCGGAGGGAGCGGCGCGGCCGGGGGCCAGGACTGGGGGAGAGGCCGCTCTGCAGGGCGAATGTGACAAGCCCCCACCCCCACCGCCTTCCTCCCGAGTGCGCGAGGAGCGCGGGCGACCCCGGGGCCCCGCCAGGCCACAGACCCCGCCCAGCGGCCAGCACCCGGAGCAGGCCCGGCAGCGGAGCTGCGCGACGGCACCATGCTGGTCACCCTGAAGACCCTCCAGCAGCAGACCTTCAAGATCGACATCGACCCCGACGAGACGGTGAGTGCGGCGGAGAGCGCTGGGCCCGGCACGGATCGGGGGCGGTCCGCGCGAGGCGCCGGGAGGGCCTGGGCTGGGGTGGGGGGGTGGTGGTGGCGCGGCGGGACCGCGTGCGGGGCCCCGACCTCAGCTTCGAGCGGAGCCCGACCGGGTAGAGCCGCGGTGCACCCGAGAGGGCATGGCGAGCGGGGGTTCTAGGGACCCGGGCGCTTATGAGGCCTGCGGGCTCCGGGCGCGGGTAGGGCCAGGGACCCGGCGGCGCGCGGCCCGCTGAACCTTCAGGGTGGGCTGCGGGCTTTGTGGCAGTTTTGTGGCAGGAGTGAGGGGAAGCAGTGGTCGGACACCGAAGCCCGGGTAGCATATGGCGTGAAGCACGCGCTAGCGGGGCACCGGAGGCCTCGGCCTGGGCACTCTCGGCGGAGGGGCCAGAGGGGGAGGGGACGTCAGGGTGGCCTGGGCGGTCGAGCTGGGCTCCCGGGTGTGGGTGCACAGATTGGGGAGGGAGAGGTAGGCGTCGCCACTGTCCCTGCGTGGACCTGGTTAGGCGCTGAGGTCTTGGAGGTAACTGGAGATAATGAGCCTTAAATAAAATGGTATCGGGTTCTGTCAGCCGCAGAGTGTGAGTGTGAGGGGTGGTGAAAATGCATTTTTTTGCCCTCTTCGCCGCAGAATTGGTGACCCTTTTATTTGCATAAATCTCGAATCGTCTCGCTGCAGTTCTGCCGCCACCCAGCCCACACCCATACGTTGATTGCACTTCGAGGCCTCTTTGGTGGTGAAGATTGTTGCATTAGAGCCCTTCCAGTAAATCCAGGCGCAAACTTAACTCCACATTAGCGAGTTCCCTGTGTTAGAAGCCTTGAAATTGTAGGAGTCGGAAGTCTGCACCCAGCCCCCAAATAATAACCTTTCAGAGGAGAAATAAAGAAAATAAAAACTCTGAATCTCTTCTGTAAACTCTTGAGCGACTCAAACTTCACGTGTTAAATTCTCATGTCATCTCTGTATTTGTGACCGCAAAAAGCCACTGTGTTGAAATCAGTACAACTTTATGCCAAGATCTAAAAATTGCCATTCAGTGTAAACTTACTTGTGTTCTGGAAGTGTGAGTCTGCACACCTTTGAGGTTGTCACAGTGCTGTATTTACAGCAGCAACTTTCTGCCCGTCTGTATTTTTCAAAATGATTGATTCAATTTTGCTGGAGGTCAGGGACCTTCAGTTCAGTCGCTCAGTCGTGTCGGACTCTTTGCGACCCTGTGGACCGCCGCACGCCAGGCCTCCCTGTCCATCACCAACTCCTGGAGCTTACACATTTAAACTCATGTCTATTGAGTCGGTGATGCCATTCAACCATCTCATCCTCTGTTGTCCGCCTTCAATCTTTCTTAGCATCAGGGTCTTTTCCAATGAGTCACTTCTTCGCATCCGGTGGCCAAGTATTGGAGTTTCAGCTTCAGCATCAGTCCATCCACTGATATTCAGGACTGATTTCCTTTAGGATGGACTGATTGGATCTCCTTGCAGTCCAAGGGACTCTCCAGAATCTTCTCCAACACCACAGCACCACAGTTCAAAAGCATCAATTCTTGGATGCTCAGCTTTCTTTACAGTCCAACTCTCACATCCATACATGACTACTTAGTGTTGGTTAATTAATTAAACGTGAGCACCCATTTGCGGCTCTAACAATTTGCTATGTACCTGTTTTACAAAGATGTGAAGATTAAATAGTATTTAATTGGTGGTCAGTAAATGGAATCAGTTATTAATCAATGGGTACCTTTGAGCGAGGAAGTTTTCTACATTTTGAATTATTTAAAAATGTAGTTCCCAACCTTTTTAAAACTGTGGCACAAAATGATTTTAGTTCAAGGTACTTAATTAGCATGTGTAATCATGCTACATGATAAGTTCTTAAAAGGTACAAGAGATACCAAGTTTTGATGAGAAATTGAGTGTCCTCAAAATTGACAACACTTGTGGCTTGCTATTACTAGCAAATCAAATTCTTCCTGGATATTCCTTTGCTGCTTGGTGTGTACTTATAAGTTAAAGGATGGAAGTGAAAATGCAGCTGTTTAATGTTTTCAGCCAAAATTTTCCATAAAGTATCTTTTAACTTTGGTTTTTTTGTAATGTTGGTGCCGCAGGAACTTTATTCTGGTATTCACAATTAGTTCCAGAATTATTGAAGCCTAAAGGTTTGGGGTTTGTTTGTGTGTGTTGTATTTTTGTTTTATATTCCTGGGTTTATTGAAGATACGCAGTGACTTTACAGCTCCACTGAAATATTTATGTTCTACTAGATTTGTATTGCTCTTCAGGCATTTTATGCATTCATTATCTTAGAGCCAATATTGTGTTTGTATAGATAATTAGCTATTATCCAGTTTATTTATATAAAGTATAAACTATACTTCTGGAGGTAGATTTTCAGAAAGCTTAGTTACAGAGTTGCTTCTTCAGTTTTTTGTTGCTGTTTATATAAATGTAAAACCTAACATTGTTAGTCTGGGACAAGACATGAAAACATTCAGTTGGGATATTCTGGAACATTTATTTTAAAATGACTTGTGGGTTTTTACTTTAATGGACTTAAATTTCAGAAATGGGGGAATATTACAGCTATTTTAATTACATCTTTATAGTGATTTTAAAATTAACATTTATTTTTAATACTGTATTTGAGAGCATTCAAGTAAGAAAAGAAGCAATGAAAATTGTATAATTATCGGCAGACTGTAAGTATCCTGTTTGTGAAAACTAGATAGCCAAGGATATTAGGAAAATGAATCTAAAATAAAGGGGGAAAAATAGGATTTTAGTGAGACTTCTAGGGAGATTCACATAAAATGAACAGATTTTGGTCTCTGAAACCTCTATGTTGGCCACTCAGAGGTTTGATTTTTTTACCTAGAAGTAACTAAGGAACCTTAAATTACTTAAGTAACTTGAAATGGCTGGTGTAGAAACTCTTGTGAGCTTGAGAGGAGTAGGAGCAAAAATGAGTGAAAGAGGACTGAGAGATAAGAGGAATCATGGCAGTGATTCATTTGCTGAACAAGCAAATGTTCAGTAAGTTGACTGGCAGAACCAGAGGAGTGCAGGGACGTCTGGGTCTTTGGGGAGACATGTTTACATCGTCTTGGCTCAGTCAGTGGCTATAGTGTAGGAGACAGGCACAGTAGAAAAAGCAAGAGGATTCGTTTTTAAGGTGTTTGTGTTTGCTTTAGTTTTTGAATGTTGAAAGTCCTCCCCTGCCTTTTTTTAAAAAAAAAAAAAACCAGTGAAACTTTCTTAACATTGCCATTTTTTACCATTTACTTGACCATTATCTTGCACTGTCTTTAGTGTTAACCATTACAGAAGTCTTTTTATTATTAAAATAATAATTCATCTCCTCTTATAAAGTAACTGGGGAAAAAACAACAGTAAGTTTGAGGTGAGACATTAAATGCACAACCTGAAATACTACATAAGTCACAACAAAGCTATGTGTATATATTGGAAGTTTTTGATAAGACAGTTGCTGAAGTACAGTAGTTTTAATTAGACAGTATATTTGATGCTCTGTACAGTAATCTGCAAAGAATTATCTCACTTTGTGATACATTTGTGCTACAAAATACTGTTTGAGTACTAGTTTTGTATATAAGATTTACTAGCCATCATATTTTAGCACATTGTTCCCATCATGGCTAATTGTATTATAATAGAGTTGTGCTGGAGTTAGTGCCTTATTATGGAAGTTTCCTAGATTATTAAAACCTTTAAGTAGTTAACGTATTAAAATACTGTATCACAGGTTTCTTGGCATTTTGGTAAAACGAAATACTGGAAGTACCTGGGAAACCTGGTGATGGCTTGAATCAGACCTTTGCTGTTTCTGTGCTTAGCATACAGGAAGCATTTAAGGGAGCTTTCCAGGTGGCTCAGTGGTAGAGAATCCATCTGCCACTGCACCTGATGCGGGTTCGATCCCTGGGTCGGGAAGATCCCCTGGAGAAGGAAATGGCAACCCCCTCCGGTATCCTTGCCTGGGAAAGCCCATGGACAGAGGAGCCTACAGTCCTTTGAGTTGCAAAGAGTTGGATATGACTTGGAGACTAGACAACAGCAACAAGAATTTGATAAAGATCTTTTGGATGAACTAAATACATTCTTTGGTGAATTGCCAAGTCAGTGATCCCTCAATCTTTGCATGTTAATTTATTTACTGTTGGTTGAATACTTACTAAAAATATCAGGTCCTGCTGTTACGGTGCATACGTTGTAGTGGGATAAATCAGATGAAAAACAAGTTTTTAAAACCAGATAATGGTAAGAGTTATGTAGAGAATTGAAATAGGGTG